ATATGCATATTTAGACGAAGTTTTAGTTTTAATTTGACATCAAGGCAGACGACGCAACGGGCAGACCTTAATCATTAAACTATGCAGTTTTTAATGATGATTACGTGTTTATACAAACATTACTTTATATGGTCGGACTCATCTACATCTGTCCTGGATTAAGAATCAAAATGCAGATGCGTTTTAAGTGGTGAGAGTGAAATGAAGAGAAATGCAGATGCGTCTCTACACTTACCATACAAAACACAGCAGCGTTAAGCTACTATTTGAGGCTGGTATTCTATGAGAGCGTGGTCATTTCTAGATCGAACCGACTCATTCGTGCTACAAATATACAACTAATATAGCTGCAGCATGGCTCTACCACGATAAGATAGAATGCCTAGTTATCAGTAACCCTCCGGTTCGCTACACTTACCATACGAAGCAGCAGCACTGAGATGCTATTTTACGGTGGTATTCTGTGAGAACATGGTTCAGTTGTGCCAACCTAAGCGTGCTGAAACGTTAATATATCTGCAACGTGGCTCTAAGTTTTACCATCCTGATGTTCTGGTACCCTGGTACCAGAGTAAGAGATACCTTCCAAACCGTAACACTGAAGTTGTTGCATATTGCTTGGCAAGTGGTTCTTACTCAGACAGACTCCTAAGCAGAAAAAAATCTCATCTCCTTAAGTCAGAGCTATCACGTCTTAAGGAGAAAGAGAAAGCAATTAAATCAAAAGGGAATAGACAAGGCGCAGTAAAGGTGAAGAAAAGAGAAAGAGAACTTTTACGTTGGGCGCCAAAATGTCGTGAAGCGACAATTAAATACAAAAGAATCTAACCTAAGAGCAACAAAACAACAAAAATAGAACAAAAACAAATAATATATTTAAGATTTAAAAGATATTTACAATTTTATGTAACAAAATGGAGTATGAAGATGAGGATGGATGTCGTGATTTACAAATTATTTAAAAAAAAGGTAATAAAAAAAAAGATTAGTGTCGAAGCTGAGCCCGAAGATCCAAGGTACAGGGAGTTAAGCGTTTGTAGTTATTTCACAGTATGCAAACAATCCGGTTGTAATCTGAGTTGATCAATAAAATTATTAATTACAATTTTAAACATTGGTATAACGCGTGCTTAGCAATGAAGGAAATTATATTTTTTATATAATTAAACACCTGATAGTAAGTGATTACTGTGCTGTGTGTGAGGACTAAGATGGAATGCCTCGTTTCCATCAAAAAGGATCTCCGGTTCTCTGCACTCACCATACGCAACACAGCAGTATTAAGCCGTTACGCTGCTATTTCGTGAGAGCGTGGTCCTAACCCAGTCGAGAACCATTCCTCCTACAACCATAATATAGCTGCAGCGTGGCTCTATCAAATATAACCGTATATTTGAGGAATCTTGCAATTCTGAGAAATTAAAAAATATAACATTTGATGTATGCCAATACGCAATATGGTAGCGCGGCGGACATTTCTTTGCCATAAAACCTTCTTATATACAAAAAGAGGAAGCCTACGCCCAATAAAGACGGATGAAGCTAGTAAATTTATTATGAAGTTCTGCATTACGCTCCTTAAATTCGTCTTAATGCATTACATAATCCATTATTTCTATCCATCTGTATTTATGCCTATCATAGCAGTAAGTAGTAGTATATGAGTTATTTATCAAAGTTCACAGCAGAACGTAGGCCTCCCCATAGAATGCTTCTTAAGGAAAATACTTGCCATAGTTGCCAAGCTTAGTAGGCGGGTTGGCAACCGTGGTTTAATCCAGTTATTAGGAAGACGCTGCTCCTCTTCTCCTGGTTTGTTTCCCTTTGTCACTTCTTACGACACCCACGGTACAGTATGGGGTAGTGGACATACTTTCACCGCCACTACACGGTAAAATTGTTGTAATTTAAAGTGCTGACTTAAAAATGAGGATATCTACAATAATATCTATAGTATAACCAGTATAATCAAATTAATCCACATAACCCAAAGTATTAGTAAGCTGAAGTGGAAATGGGCCGGCCATATAGCTCGAAGAACCGACAGCAGATGGGGAAGAAAGGTTCTCGTACGGCCGACGGATTGTAGGGCGTCCCCCCACTAGATTAAGTGACGATCTGGTAAAAATCGACGGATGCGGGTAGCTAAGGACCGTGCTTTATGCCATTCCTTGCTGGAGGACTACGTCAAAGACTTATGAATGGCTGTAATAGAAATGATGAAAGTGCTGATTTGCCACAAGCCGTGTAAGGACGGCTTAAGAGAATCAACTACCTCTTAACATCCCGTTGGTGTTGTAAAAAGTGACAGAGAGAAATATAACAGGAGATAGGCAGCGGCACCTTCCTGATAACATCTGAATACATTAATACTTACTACTGTTTCGTCTACTCTCAAGCGTTGCAGCTATAGCAAAATCCCCTCGACTTTCGTAAGGATGTAATGAATCAACGAGTAAATACACGTGCAGAATATAAAACAGCCGGATGGAAACATTTGTTCTTTTTTTAAAATATTAATAAGGTTAACGAACGAGCACACAATACACCTGATAGTAATCGGATGCTGTGTCCCATATCCTCGATTAAGAATTAAAATTCAGATGCGTTGTAGCCCCTGAGGACTACGACAGAGTGCCTTATTTCCAGTAAAAATGGTCTCCGATTCTCGACAACCATCATTCGAAACAGCAGTGCTATTTTATGCTGGTATTCTGTGATAGCGTGGTAATTCCCCGGTTGAGCCGACTCGTTCGTGCTACAACTATAATATAGCTGTAGCGTGGCTCTATACCACGTATAAGATAAATAAAAATGTTTTAAGAGATCCTCTTTAACTTGATTTGGCTCTACTTAATTTTTCTTATATATATATTTTTTTCTTTAAAACCGTTACTCTTCCACTAGGACTTTCCCCTCGTGTGTCGTGTATCGTGGAGGCAGTTTGCATACATAAAGTGCACAAGGCCCAATATCCAGACCCGAAACAATTACTTGTATGCCATATAAATTGTTCCGTTTGGGATTTGAAACCGTGGCAATCAGCACCGTAACTCATTGCTAAGCCACTGCACCACGGAACAGTCAATAAATGGATGTTATAGGGGGATGTTTTGCGCGGTAGAGCCTCGATTTTGCCGTATTATACGGCACAAACGGGTCGAGCTTGAAGAATACAATAGAACAGAATCAATTTTATTCAATATACATACAGGAATACTTATTAAAAGTAATTTAAGTTTTACTACTGATTTGGAAAAAAACATTAGTCCTAGAAAGAACCAGCAAGAAATCCAGCGTGACTTTTTGCGCGAGCGAAGGACCACGCTCTCATATTTTATAGCCAGACTTTAAGATGTTATAAGTATATAATATAATATAATACGGATACTATATAAGTGCTAATAATGCACATCAATCATCAATATGCTTTTCTATTTTACCTTATACGATACTATGATGATTTCTTATATTTACGCGAACACTACACATTTTTAAATAAAACTAATTTTACGGATTTTATCGCGTATATTAACTTATTTTTATATTCCCGACGTTTCGGGTGCTTTCCAGCACCCGTGGCCACGGGAGACTGAGGTGTTTGACGTCCTGCTGTCATAGTTAGCCCGGCTACCTTCAGTTTTTTTCATATTAATTTTTTTTTGGTTAGATTTACCCAGAATGAGCTTACAGTATCTTGAAGTCTAGCAGTGGTATACTTGGGTTTGGATTTGATTTTATTAATTATGGGATCCCAAGCAGATGGCAGCACCCATCCATCTTCTCTATTGAAATTAGGATGTTTTTTAATTTCAATAGCCTCGCGAATCATTCTTGGGAGGAATCGGTGTTCTTTTGCGAGGATTTGTGGTCTATCAAATCTAATGTGATGGCGGGGACGATCTTGAACATGTTCACAAACTGCAGACTTCCCGATACGTCGGTGCTTCACGTTACACGTCACGGTACTATGACCTTGAAAATGTCCACGTTGTTGTCCCAATTTAACCTAAATACTTGAGGAGCCCTAGTGTAGTCACGTAAAACTTGTTTGTTCTTTTCTATATATTATTTTATACGCGGTAGGTATTTAATGTAATTGTTTTATAATGGATCGCCTCGAATTGGCGAAACACGTAACATAACAGCGTAATGATGCAAATAGAATAATATAAATTATAAAAAAAATATTCGATATATATTAAACGAATGTTTATTGAAGGCAAAAATCTTTTATCTGAGTAATACTGGCAAAGAAACGGCGGGAATTTAAAAAAAAATGTTATATATGAAAACATCTCTAGCATATCTACGTTAATCTATGGAAAACATTTAGAAACAACGTGTTAGTGAATCACCGTAATACCATGGTGAATAAAATTAATAATGTATTCTTTAATAATATAATAAATAAACCACATCCTTTTTAAACAAGTTTTTAGTTAATGAAAAATTTTAAAATTTTCTTGTTCTCAATATTTTTGGGCTTTGTTGTAAATTTTTTGTAAATACTTTGAGGCGATTGAGGGGTCAAAATTAATACATTTATTCTTTAAATTTTTTTCAAGCACTTCTTCGGATTTAAATTAAAATTGCTCTTATCTCTCTTCTGCAACATGGTTCAGCTCTTCTTTCCTTCTGAGTGACGAGACGGGAATCAAAGACTCTTTTTCTCTTCTCGTGTCGTCGAGAACTGACACGAAAACAAGTGTTACATAAGTGACAATGCCTCTGCTTTTTATCAAATTATACTTACCATCAGGTAAACTGTGTGCTCGTTTGTTACCAAATTGTTTTAAAAAAATGTACATCGTACATTTTCTTACCCATGAACTAACAATACATCGTTCATACATTACCACTAGCATCGCAATTGCAGCACAAGTGATCCAATACGATATCCTTGGTAATGGAAAAAATGACCAGTAAATTGGAGCCGCCGATATTCGCACCGAGAAGTATAAAAGTGGGCCGCGCAAGAGTCTGACATCAGTCGCCCACTGACCATTGGAACATCACAACTACGTGAACCAAAATATTATTGTATCATCATGAAATTCCTGGTAAGCATTCAGTTTTTAATGTTAAACAAAAACAAATCGCAATAAGTTTTTAAATAACACGTAAAAGTAATTTTTATATTTAAACTTAAAAAAATCTTTTTTTAAACGCTGATAAGCGTATTTTTTTAAATATTTTAAATTGGTACTAATCCAGATTATTGTACTTGTACTTAACAGATCTATGAGTAATGGGTGCGTATTTTTATTTGCCGCGCAAAATAAGTCAGTGTTACTCTAAGTTTTTTTTATTAGTTTTTCTTTTTACTGCGACCGAGGCTTTTCATCTTAGTACTAAGGAGTAATAAGGCATCTGCAGTTTGATTCTAAAACGAAGATAAATGCAGAATGTCTATGGACTACATCATTCAGTTGGGCTGTGTGTTCGTATGTCTTTGTCGCCATTGTTCTATAAAAAAATAGTTTTGTAATAAACCTAAATGCGGTGATATAATTTTCATTTGATTTCGAGTATAATTTATACAAATTATTGCCTTGAGTTTAATTTTGAACCTACAACTGTGTAAAGGAACTTCTAATCGTAATTTTATTAAGCCTATAAAGCAAAAAGAACGTGGGAAAAATATATGCGATTTACATAATTATAGCTGGCATTACATAAGACCTTTTTAATTTATTTTAATTCATCAAGAATTAAATGGAAGCACAGTTTAAATAAATGTCATAGAATTTATGTTAGATTTTGCAGGTGTAAACTAGCGAAAATATTCATAACACATACAGCCCAGTTAGTAGAGAACCTGTTGATGCTAGAGGTAGCAAATTAGAGTCTAATGTACTGTAAACAGTATTTTTATTGTACAAAAATTTACTTCAAAGAAGTCTGTTACTAAATCAAAGTTTAAAACTGTTTATTATTGCTTATTCATTTATGCATATTATAACTTAGTTCTCTTTAATTAATGGTATAAATTAGCGTCTTTAAAATAATGAAATTGTAAGCGACCTAAAAGTACATCTTGCAGTTAGTAAGTACTTAAGTCCACGGGCACCTGTGATATGTTTATGCATCACTATCACTATCAGTAATATCACAAGTCCACAGCTGGACATAGACCTCCCCCGTAGATTAGCACCTGTAGTTCAGAGTAATCTACAACCAACGAAGATGGCCGCAAGTACATTACCACCCTTAAGGACTATGATTTAATATCTCGCAGTCAGTAATTAACCTAATCTCAGCTTCCTTACATTTAAATGTTGGCAAACGTACACGTAGGCAGAATAAATTAACTTTTAATAAAAAGTATCTAATAAATTTACTTTTAATAAAAACTAATAATTTCAAATTCTAAGGCACGGGCTTTTATACTTGTATCTGTGTATGTATGACTTCAGAAAGTGAAATAATTTTATTCTGTTTAGTTCTATGCCCTCGGCTATTACTTTTAATTAAAACTATTTTTTTCTCTTTTAAATAGACTTAATAATATCACAATCCCAATGTCGTGTAGATAGTAACACTAAAAACTATTTTCTCCGAATTCGTATGGGAACTTAAAGTAAAACCTATAAAATGGGGTTATAATTGACGAAGATTTTAAGTAACACATACTAAAACCTTACAAACGAATTGTAAACCTCCCTTTTTGAAGTTAGATACAAAATAATACTACAAAATAATTGAGGTGATTTTTATTAATATACCTTATTCTTACATTGTCATCCAAATCTGAGCTATGTTCAAAATTTCAAGTCTCTAGCTTATCGGTAAGTTTCAAATCGATTACTAAATTAAACCCGAACAGACATGATACACGAAAGCGAGTAAATAATAATTAAAAATTAAAAATGTTGTACAACCGACTACAATATAAATGATTAAGAATAAAACTATTGGACTGGCCTTGATCAAATTCATATGGGACCACATGTAAAGTATCAGCTTTCAAATAAAAAAAGAATTCTCGAAATCAGTTCACCCAGTAAAAAGTTATGAGGTAACACACATAAAAAAACATACAGTCGAATTGAGTACCGGCTCCTTTTTGAAGTCGGTAGAAAATAGCTTAAATTGAAAAAAGAATGTCGAAGATATTTACTTTTAAAATTCTAACGTTTACCGCTAAATAGCTCAGGGGTTGGGTAATTGCTTCAATTCAAAAAGTCACAAGGAACGCGTGTTCAAACCCAGCCACAGTATATATTGTTAATAGCAATTTTTTGTGCTGATTCACCATGTGCTAGGTGAAGGGACGATTCGTGTCTGGGAATAATTATGTTTCAAGGATATGTCAAGGCCGTAAACAAATGAAAGTCGAAGTAGTTTGTACTCTCCCCGGCTCAGTTTCTCTTAATAAAGGATTAATACGGCTCTGTGACGAGCATACCTGTATTTAACTGTATACAATTATTTAATAGTATATTTATTTCTACCTCTGATATAAATAGTTCAAAAGGGTGGAGGGGATAATTTCCTCAATGATGATTTGAATTTGGTTTTTACTCTTTAATTTTTTTTCTTATTCTAACCCAGAACTTATAACTCAATACCAGTACGGCATCCGTCAAACCAAGCGTTCATAAGTTACATACAATTAACTCACTATGAAACTTAGCCCGACAGGAAATTGCGTATATCATGTCTAGATTGAAGATAATACACATATTTAACGTTACTTAATTATTGCACTTTGAAACGCCCTTTTTGACGGATAGTTTAATAAGCCCAAACATTTTTGCGGCTTACAACATATTTTATAAATTGAACTAGTGTAATTACAGCTTTGAGGTATGTTAGTATGGGACTTATACGTTCCAAGTTTTCGGACTTTAACAACAGAAGTTTTTACGTGGTAGAGCCATGCTGCAGTTACGCTCTCACAGAGTTCCAGCGTGAAATAACAGCTTAATGCTGCTGTGAGTGTAGAGTACCAGAGACCTTTCACTGGAATCGAGGCATTACATCTAAGTTCGCAGGGGTGGCAACGCATCTACATTTTGATTCTTAACCGAGAATAGATGTCTATGGGCCACAGCATCCACTTACCATCAGGTGAACTGTGTGCTCGTTTATCACCCTATCCTATATAAAAAAAATTGTGTAGTGTGACGCGATCTCTATCTTTTATAGCATATCCATTCTCTTCTTTCACAATTTTCCATTTAAATCATTGAACTAATTTGTACTACGTACTAGAAGAGTGGACGAGGCATGGTTGCTTACAACACGCGTTAGAGCCGGGCTGAAACTTAGTCTAAGCCATGAAAAGGTACTTCGTGCCTCCGTCCACGCGCCTTGTAATGCCGCACTGATTTTGTTCGCGTTGTCTCTTCTAGTATGCAGTACATATTAGTTTTATGATCTAAACCCACTTTTTTGGCTACATGTGGTCTGAGCAGCAAGCTGCTCTTTGGACTATGCCTACCACCTCGTGGGTTACCTGACCCTATGTTCTTTGAGGCTTCTCATGTTAGTACTCAGGTGTTACCCTCTGTGTTTGTCATTTTCTACCGACTTCCGGACTACCGGAGGAGGTACTCAATTCGACTCTATGTTTTTTTTGTGTGTTACCTCATAACTTTTTTTTGGGTGAACCGATTTCGATGATTCTTTTTTATTTGAAAGCTGGTGCTTCGCATGTAGTCCCATATAAATTTAATCAAGGTTTGACCAAGAGTTTTAGAGTTATTCTTAATAATTTATATCAAAGATTCTTTGAAGGCGCGTTTTCCTTTTTATAAGACTCCATTTTTTTATAGAATTTTATGAGTAGTATATGATGTAATAGTTCCTTAAATTTAATTAAATAAATATCTTATTAATTTGTCTTCTTTATTTTTAAACAATAATAATCAAATTTAACCTACAATGGAATACTTACTGAGACTTAAGTTGGAAACGATGTAGGTTTTTATTGACTTGTGTTTTTTCTCAAAGAAAGTAACAAAACAACTAAAAAAGGAGACGGTGTTAACGACCTAATTTCGACATAACTTTTTTCAGTTATGGACTATTTTCGAGCTATTCGTTATAATGATTTAAGGAATTGGAAAACCTCTATTTCTTTGTATGATTACATTAATTTAAAAAATATGTTAGTCTCTGCGCGTAATAATTATTTTTGGAAGCGCCATAATAAACAGGAATTTCACTAAATCAATTTTCCTGATACCAACAATGAAATAACGAAACTACTCCGAACTGAACCACCCAAATAGTCTTTTGTTTATCGGAGGAAGTAAAATTGCTTCATGTCTAAGTTGGTATTGCTCAAGTTACAGTTGTACAATTGGTACGTCTAAACAATTAAGCGGGTACGCGACACAGTCGCCGACTATGTGTGTCCTAGGGCGTGGAAATGGACTTGTAATATGGGTACTTCAACGGTTACGAGGCCATGTGAAACTATCAATTACATAATTTTACACCCATTTGACTTTCAATACGTAAATGAATCATTAATGGGCTCTCATAGTGTTCTAATACGTCATGTGTTTTTTTTAAAATATTGGTAATGCTATTTATACAGCTAATATTCCCTTCAACCTATCCAGGTAAGCTTAAAATGCATGTTTTAGGAGTGTTTTACGACAAGTCGAACGGCGAATTCAAACTCGTGACCTTAGAGTTCGCGGTAGGATCAGTTGTTATAATTATGAACAAGATTATTCAAGTATTTTGAATTCTAGTAGCATATCATTTATATTATAATAACCCTTCTTATATTCTTTTGTTAATTAAAAAAAATATAAGCCGTAGTAGCTCAGATGGTTAGCGCTCCCTGTAAATTTCACAGTACGCGAGCAATCCGGGCTCGATCCCCGCGGGCACCAATGAAATTGTTAATTGCAATTTTAAGTGCTAATTGACCACGTGCTCGACGGTGAATTCGGAGACATGTGAAGTTCGTCAACACGCATTGGTGCAGCGCGGCGGACATATCCTTGCCCTAAAACCCTCTCAGAAATTGGAGGAGACCTGTGCCTAACAGTGGGACGTATATAAGCTGTAACTTTCACCTTTTAATAAAAAAAAATTAAACTTTGTAATCGAAAGACCCTTGTATATTTTCTGGGAGTTCATTGTAATATATTGTGCGGATACATTAATGAATTACTGACTCTATGGAGTCGAGAAACTCGTATTACTGCTTTGTGATTATTTCTGGTGTTTACAGAAAGTAAGTAAGTACCAGCGTAAATTAGCAGCGTATAGTGAGTGTTGAGAACCAGAGATCCTTTTTAATGGTAATGAGACATTCCATCCTAGTCCTCAGGGGTGACAACGCATCTGCATTTTGGTTCCTAATTGAGGATAGATGTAGATATTTTGTGGGTCGCCGCATCCACTTACCATAAGTTGAACTGTGTGCTCGCTTGATACCCTTATTCTATAAATAAAGATGTATGTAAGAAATAAATATGAACATTTTATGAATTTAATTCTTTTTGCTAGATTGTTGTCGCCCTCGCCGTTGCGGCCGTGTGCGCTGATGAAGATGTGAAGAAGACCGAGAAGCGTGGTATCTCTAGTCTCGGCTATGGTGGTCTCGGCTACGGCGGTCTCGGCTACAGCGGTCTCGGCTACGGTGGCCACGGTCTGGGATATGGCTCTGGCTACGGTGGACTCGGACACGGCAGCTATGGTGAGCCACGTTTATCTACTTACAATTAAAAAAAAAAAAAACTAGCCATGTTATTAACATTACTAATATTTCCTTTAACCATTCCTGGTAAACCTAAGCTACATGTGTTAGGAATGGTCGACGACAGTATTCGAAGCGGATTCGAACCTACGACCTTTTGAGTTAGCGGCCCGAACCTTGCCATAAGGCTACTGTCGCTTCAAAATCTATAGTGATATTGGCTACTTTACCGTGTAGTGGTGGTGTAAGAATATCCAGTATCCACTATCGTTCCATGGGTGTCGTAAGAGGCAACGGAGGGAAACTGAAACTATGGCAAAATTCCCCACATAAGACAATATATATGGTAGGTATGTTCATGAGTTGTCTTTTATAAAGCTAAAAGTTATCAAATAAACAAGGGAACAAAAGCTCTCGGTTCTCAAAGCTAAAGAAACACAACTACCAAGTTTAAATTGACCAAAAGCTTCCAATGCCGCACTCACGTCCAACTCCACTGGTTTGTATTCAGTGTTGATTCCCTTCTCATAATAGTTCCAAATAAAATGCGCGCCAAGTTTTTTCCTTTGACTCATTGTCGATTCTCTTGGATGTTTTGAAGGATTCTCGCAGCGTCCCACAGTAGCAATCGGCATCGAGAGAAATGTTTTATTCTTTCAGTTTACAAAACCAATTCTCATCCTTGTATTTTGAATGTAAAATGTTCGAATCAATACGAAGTATTTCTTGAAGAAATTTAGACTGAAATCGAACTTGATCAAAATAAATGTAATTCTTTTCTTTTTTTTATTAAAAAAACGTTGTTCCTATAGTAAGATTGTCTCAGTGAAAGCACCTTACATACATGAAATGCACATGGAAAAACATCCCGCTCTTACAATTATTTGTAGGCCATACAAACACTTGTTCCGTAAGGGATTCGAACATGCGGCAGTAGCGCCGTAACCAAACGTTCAATCACTACATTACGATATCTATTTTGTTTTTTCATGAGCCATTTTAATCGTACGTTGGATTTAATTAGAATTGTTGCCTTGTTTACACCCAGTTAGATTGTATCTATTAAAATTCGAACTCTATAACTTGCTTAAAATAAACACCAATGTTCAGCAGTGGTGCGTTTATACACTAATAATTTATTGAAAGTTACAATTTGTTTCGACCCGCGAAACCTACACATTAAATGAAACTAACTTCACTAATTTCATATGGTTTAATTTAACTTGTTAATTCCCGACGTTATGGTTGCTTTACAGCACTTTTGGTCACGGGAGGAACTGAGGTAACGAACTGAACGTCCCAATGTCATAGTAAATCCATAAAATTATTTTAATTTAATGTAAGACTTTAAATCACTACATTTCAAGTATGTACAGTACATGCGGCTGACAAAATTCCTTTGTTTTTAATTAACGTGTAAACCACGAACCCTCCTTCCCCCTTATTTGTGTACACAATGCCACAACTCATTATACGATTATGAATCGTGGGAAATTGCCAATCCTTGACACGGAAACACATAATACACATTACAGTGTGTACGTTCGTTCCTTTGATTACCACGCCGATCGCCAGTATGCCATTATAAGTCGATAAGAAATAATATATAGTAATAGACAATCTAATAGCAAACAAAAATACCACATATTTGTAGACGAACAAGCTGAGGCAATTATTATCGGGAAGATTCTGTTGTCTATTTCCTGTTTCAGTTACCCTCTGTCCCCTCTTACTATACCCACGGGATAATATGGGATAGTAAATTATTTTATGCATCAACTTTTATTATATGGTGCACAACTACCAAACCGTAACATAAACTTTCCATACAGACAACCTCATAGAGGCATATTTACCATGCCAGCCAACAATAATCAATGGGGTGACCTGTGTCCAGCAATTTATTTTTTAGAATCTGATGATGATGATAAGCTTAGCAGTAGAGTAAAAAAAATCGTCATTCTATTCCTTACATATTTGAGGAAAGTTTGTGTCACACTTTTATCTGTTTACGTTTAAAAAACACCGCCAAAATAATTTAAAATTAAAAATTTTGTACAATCGACTTCAATATAAATTATTGAGTCGCTCGCGTCCGTAGGCTTCGACCACCTAATCCTAGGCCCACCCTACACGTGTCCCCCGGGTGGTGCTAAACGAGCGACAAAGCCGAAACGACAGACTCGGCTCCTCGCCGTATGGTAGCGGCATAAAATCTACCACCCCTTAGTTCGCACCATGAGCCAAGAAGGAAAAGAAATGGCCCCGAGTTCCCGGCGCCCCTTTAATGGGGCAGGGGTGCGAAGAATCTCCGGGAGAAAAACCGGCGACGAGGTTCGCCACCCGTCACGTCCTGTCTCCCGGGGGGGCGAAAAGTGGATTGCGGAGGCTCGTCTGGCCACGCTGAATGTATGTGGAGCAATGAATGATAAGATGGATGAAATATGCGAAATGATGAATGATAGAGGAATAGATGTGTAAACGAGACGAAACGAAAGGGAAGAGATGTCACTGCACATGGCATGTATACCGCTTACTGGTCTGGAGTAGACGAGACCGAGCGGGCATGTCAGGGAGTCGGTGTCATCCTTTCAGAAAGAATGGGTCAATGTGTGAAAGAGTATGAATGTGTTAGCCCAAGGCTGCTGTGGATACGAATGAAAGTGGGCTTAAAGAAGTTGTTTGTGCTAGGGGTGTACGCCCCAGATATGTCTAAGCCCACTTATATCCGAGAGCAGTTTTGGGACATGGTAAGGCTGGTGTTGATGAAATGTAAGGAAAATGAAAATATTATTATGTTAGGAGATTTTAATGGAAGGGTTGGGGTGAAGAGGTCTGGTTATGAAAGGATATTAGGAACGTTTGGCGATGAAAGAATAAATGAGAATGGTGAAGACCTCCTCACCGTATGTGTGGAAAAGAATCTTTTTGTGGCGAACACTTTCTTTCGCCATAAGAGGATTCACATGTATACATGGGAAAGAGGGGATGATAGAAGCATGATAGATTTTATAATTGTGGATGAAAGAATGAGGAGCGCAGTGGTAGATACAAGGGTTTACCGGGGGTCCAACGTAGGGACGGATCATTACTTGGTCTTATGCCGAATTAATGGTCTATTCAGACGTTGGCGGCATCGGACATCGGTGTCTACCACTGCGTTACAGCGTATAAGAATAGAGAGGTTACAAGATGAAGGTGTGAAAGAGAAGTATAAATGCAGATTGAGGGAAAATATAAGTGGGTTGAATGAATTATGTATGAATGATTTAGAATTGAAGAATGTATGGAATAATTTTAAGAAAGTTTTGGTGGATGCAGCCACCGAAGTATGCGGTGTAAGTAAGAGAACGAATGAAAGGAAAAGTAATACGTTGTGGTGGGATGATGAGGTACGGATGGAAGTTGAAGCAAAGAAGAGAGCATGGCTAGATTTACTAGCAACTAAAGCTGGTAATTCTGGCGGTATGAATGATGAGATTGAAAGAAAAAAGGCAGACTTTAGACGTATAAATAAGAGAGTAAAAGAAGTTGTTGAAAGGAAAAAGCAAGAAAGGATAGATAAGAATGATAGAAGGATATCTGATAACTTCCAGGCAAATATTAAAATGTTCTGGAAGCTCGTAAGAACTGCCAGGGGAAATTCAAAACAGCCTAGAATAAATGCTATACGAGACGAGAATGGCTGCATGCTGAATGATGAAGTTTCGAATTTAAAGAGATGGAAGGAATACTTTGAAAGTGTGTTTAAGAGTGAAGAGTCGTCTGGAATAAGTGAAATAGAAATTGCGGAAGAAGTGGAGAGAGGTAGGGAGATAAGTGTAGATGAAATAATGAAAGCAATGAAAAGCATGAAAGCAGGTAAGGCAGCCGGATATGATAGAATATCACTCGAAATGCTAAGGGCTGGTGAGGGTGTGGTTGCAGGCCTGCTGCACACCTTGTTTAATTTATGTTGGGAACTGAAACGGGTACCGGAAGACTGGTGCAAAGCCGTTATAGTCCCAATATATAAGGGAAAGGGGTCGCAGCAGGACTGTAAAAACTACCGTGGTATCAGCTTGCTTAGCATTGTGGGTAAACTGTATGCTAAGGTACTAATTGAAAGAGTTATGGAAGAAACTGATGGAAAAATTTGGGATGTGCAAGCTGGATTTAGAAAGGGGATGGGGTGTACGGATCAAGTCTTTTCCATGCGCATGATAGCGGAGAAGTTTTTGGCTAAAAACCAGAAAGTTTTTTGTGCGTTCATGGACTTGGAAAAGGCTTATGACAGAGTGGACAGGAATGTGTTATGGCAAACACTGAATTCATTTGGGTTGAGCGCTGGCTTGATACAGGCATTAAGATCTCTTTATAGGGACTCTAGTGCTTGTGTCAGGATAAACGGGGTCTACTCGGACTGGTTTGGCATTCATAAAGGTGTCAGACAGGGATGTGTGGCTTCCCCGTGGCTGTTTAACTTATTTATGGACAGTTGTTTGCAAACTTTGAAAGTTGAAGAATGTGGGTTGAGAATGGGTGAGTCAACCGTCAAATGCCTTTTGTACGCCGATGATCAAGTCATATTTGCATCGTCGGCGGCCGAGTTGCAAATGATGGTTACTTTAATGAATTGGTCATTGAAAGAAAGGGGTATGAAAGTGAACGCAAGTAAGACGAAAGTGATGGTTTTTGAAAGAGAAGAAAGTAAAACTTTATGTGAAATAAGAATAGAAGGGGAGTTGATTGAGCAAGTGGATGAGTTTGTATATTTGGGATGTTTATTTAGCAGGGATGGTAGATATGATAAGGATATAGAACGACGAGTGAACGCAGGAAATAGAGTGAATGGGGCTCTACATGCTATTATGAGGAGTCAGAATGTGTCAACTAATGCACGTATGGCAATTCATAATGCTGTGTTAGTCCCTACTTTAATGTATGGTAGTGAAAGTTGGGTCTGGCAAAAGAAGCATGAGAGTAGAATAAATGCTGTAGAAATGCGTTCCTTAAGGAGTATGCTAGGGCTGAATCTGAATGACAGAGTGAGAAATAGTGTGATAAGAGAAAAGTGTGGTTTGCAAGATGACGTTGTGACAAGGATTAAGAAAGGAATGCTTCGGTGGTTTGGTCATGTAGAAAGAATGAACGAGGAAAGAGTGACAAAGCAAGTTTATGTTGCGGAAGTGAACGGCAGGGTCGGGAAGGGACGCCCTAGACGAAGGTTTATCGACCAAATCGGCGATACATTAAAAATGGGCCAGATTAGGAGTACCCATAACCGACGGGCGTGTATGCGTAGATATATGGATGTAAAAGAGGCGAGAGAGGTGTGTCAGGATCGCGCCAAATGGAAGTCCGTAGTCTCTGCCTACCCCTCTGGGTGACAGGCGTGAGTGTTTATGTATGTATGTAAGAATAACTCAAAAAACTATTGGTCAGACATTGATCAAATTTATATGGAACCACATGTAAAGCACTAGCTTTCAAATAAAAAAAAATCATTGAAATCGGTTCACCCAATAAAAAGTTATGAGGTAACACACATAAAAAACATACAGTCGAATTGAGTACCGTCTCCTTTTTGAAGTCTGTAGATAAGTTTGAACTGCTTCGTTAATGTAGTGTTCGTAAGCACGACTCCTGATTATGAAGGGTTACAGATCAATCCGAAGTTCCGAATATCTCGGGTCGGGCTAAAAATCAGTTATTGGATTTTTCTATCCAGATGTTCACGGTAGCAGCCCAGACCCCGAAGTTTAGCGGTGTTTCAAGGTGAATTCAAGGCCTATGAAATTCAATTTATTAGTACTTTCGGTGGTAGACTACCAATATTTGAATCAAACATTAATATAATAGCGTTGAGACCACCGGTTTTATTTAACCACTTCTAAAGGAGATGGTAAATTGAAAAGACAAATTTTCCAACATCAAAAGACTAAAGATTGAGAAAACCGTTTCATTCTCAAACCAACATTACGACGCTTCCAAAATCTAGATCTCAATTAATTGTTTGTGCCAATATTTTGTTTAAAACAACTTTCCATCTATCCATTACGGCTTATCAAAAGTCCACTGTTGAACACAGAGCTTGCCCGAAGATACATAGTGGTGATATTGGCCATTCCGCTAAGCAGGCGGGGTTACAATTGAAGTTTACATTATTTTGAACTGATATCAGGAAGATGCTGCTGCCCATCTCCTGTCTCATTTTCCTCTGTCTTCCCTTATGTAACCCTCGGGATGTTATGTGGTAGTGGGTTCTCTTATGCTGTCACTACACGGCATAAGACCTTCGATACTTTAACTCAATTTTTATTTGAAACAAATTTTGAAGAAAATAGATTCGTTAGCCATTTAACACAAAACACAAGATGGCTGCAAGTAGGTTAATATTGTGTTATGCATATAAAGAAATATTACGATAAAAAAAAATTAAATTACACGAAATAAAATAATTAAATAACACTGGCATAAAAGAAACGAAATGATTCTTTAGAGTCGTTGTGATTTAAAACGAAAAAGCGACACTTAAAATACATGTATAGGAGTTAGTCTGCGAAATAATGAGATAGAGGACAGTATACAGTGTTTGTTATAAATTTATTTATATTTTAATTCAATAAGCCCTATATATCCTACTCCTCATTCTCTGCATTCGTCTCATTCTCTCGAAGTTTAGTTTTCTGAAGGCTACTTCTATCGCGTGTGAACTGCACACGTTTTTATTTACAATTCTAATTACACTAGCTAGCAAAGTTTTTATAACGAGTCTAGGGGTATTATTTTATTGCTCTCATAGAATGAATATTAATATAATTTTTTGTGACTGACAGTTAAATTTTTCTGCTTCATTTTTTGTTTTATCTATTGTAAGTAGGCGAATTTTTTAATATTCCGACGCATTGTGACTCAATTATGTATAGGTACAATTTATTTCCAATTCTTACAATTATTTTACCCCAAGAGTTTGAGCCTAGCTGTGTGCGTATATAGCCATATAATATACAGATGCAGAGTCTGGGTAGATATCACTCTCTTAGATTTTCCGAGTACAAGGATAAGAGTTAAATAAAGTTAGTATATTTATAAGGTGGGATAAATCCTACACTAGTCTTAATGATGGCTCCGTGGCGCAGTGGCTTGGCAACGAGTTGCAGCGCTAAGGGCCGGGGGTTCGAATCCCGCACGGAACAAGTATTTGTATGGCCTACAGATAATTGTTCTAGGTCTGGATGTTTTTCCTTGTGAAATTTGTGTATGTTAACTGCTCCCGCGATACAGGAGGAAATACTAGTGTGGAGGTAACGCTTAAAAAAAAAGAAGTCGGAATATGAATATCCATGAGTCTGAGGTCTCAATCATACCATCTTGTGAACTTTCGTTAGACATTTCAATGTTTTGAAAATAATAATTGGAATACTTAATTTTAAAGAGTAGTAACATTGAGTCACGAGAAGTGTTACGGCGACTGCAGTCTTAAAAAAAATCAATTTATTTTTATTAATTTTATTATTTCGACCTTCACATTGGACATTAAAACTGCAATTTGTTACGCCTTTTTCCTTACCATGATACATACATTACAAGGCCAACCCAGTCGTCCATTCAGTTAAAATATCTAGTCACAGATGACTTGCTTCGAGATCAAAAACCCTGTAATGGCTGAAATAAAAACAAACATCGACGTAACTCACTGGATTCTTTTTTGTTGTTACCTTTCATTGTCAACGACACAACGACCTTGTTTGAACTTGGTTCAAAATCGTCCCTTAGTTCACTCGATATTTCTATCAAATATTCTCAATATAATAATTACAGGTCGGGCAGAGAGTATGAATGTATTACAACCAATCTCCAAAACAAATATCATCATCATTACAGCCAATCTCAAGTTTACTGCTAATATTAGGCCTAACCTAAAAACTGCCGCAAAATATTGTCTTGAACTAACTGATACAGTTAGTTCAAGACAAATTGGTTTTAAAATATTTAATTCACCATCAGAAGTAAGTTTGTAATTCTTTAACAACTACCGATTAGCTGGTTATAGGTCTAGATACAAATCGAGGCTAATACTTCTGTAATAGCTTAAATTGGGTAATTAGCTAAAATTATATTATGCCATTTTGTGTACATGTTAATCTACCAGCTTAGAATAACTTACCTCTTCACTCTAATGTCTGCTGGAAGAAAATTCTAACACCCTGAATTTGTATAAATCTTTGTTTGCGTGCTACTTGTACTTAAAAAAATAAACAAATTTCTTCGTGCCCCTGGCATCTTGTTCAAAACACCTGCTAATGTTATCTTAAAGGAATTACAAGGAATATGTATATTATTTAAAAGCTATATAATATGCATATTATTTAATACATAAAGATTAAAGATATAAATTAATATGAAATAATTTTAAAAGGAATAATTTCTCTACAGTTGCACCAGTAGCCGTCAGCAAAGTGGCGTACACCACCGCTCACGGCGGATATGGCGGTTACTCCGGTCTCGGCGGATACTCCGGTCTCGGCGGGTACTCCGGTCTCGGTGGATACTCTGGTCTCGGTGGATACTCTGGTCACGGATACTCTGGCCTTGGTGAGTTACGTGAGAATGGATAAAGGACAAAGTATTGTTTCTTTAATAACATACCTCGTTGGCATTGAATAAATAATTCAATAGAATTTAAATTTTCACACAAAGAGACTTTGCAAGTTTGTAACACGTTACCGGAACTTCATTATTTTTTTTTTGCTTTTAGTTTTTATTATTTTATCTGTAATAGTTAGTAACTACTTTGCTGAAATTAACTTTTGGGCGTAAATATGATAGTAATTTTTTAGTATTATTAATCTTATAATCTACTCTACCACTCTATTTCATCTCGTGGTTTTCGTAAAAAGCGGCAGTGGGATATGCCAATAAAATCTTGTAGCCTCCGATAAAATGTCAACATATAGTGTAATCTAGATGTAAAATCACTAGTCCGATGACGAAGGGGAGCATCAAAGGTCATAGACATGTGATATTGCGATCGAAAAATTGCCTGCCAAGCGTGTCGATTGTGGCAAATTCTCCCTACAAATAGAGATGCTCGTTTTCTCCTCACTAGTATTTTCTCCTGTGCCATTTTTGAGTGTGGAGGAGTTGTGGCGAGGATTGGTGCGATATACATACTTAAATTTCACAAGGACAAAGATACCGACCCGGATCATTTATTAGAAAGCCATACAAATACTTGCTCAGTTCAGCAATTCGAACCTACAACCTTAGTGCGCAACTCATTGCTAAGCCACTGCCACTACTTCTATGTAATATGTACTTAGTCCGTGAGTCGTCAACAAGCATATAGAAGTATATAGAGTAATAAAGAGATAACAAGCATACATACGTCAGTAAGTACATACTTACTGACGAATATATACGTAAAAAGTGTATGTAAAGTTGCATTTATTGTTATAACATATACTATATATTTTTTCAGGCGGTTACTCCAATGGTTACTCCGGCCATGGTGGCTACTACAGCTCGCCCGTCTACAGCGGATACGGATACGGCGGACACGGTCTCGGCGGTTACAGCGGTCTCGGTCTCGGTGGTTACAGCGGTCTCGGCCACTACGGACATCACTAAACGCAAAAAGCGCCTTACGTTTCGTTGACTTTAAACATTGTGTTCATTTTTATGTAAAGTATGTTTATCTGAATGTTGCGAACGTTGCGAGATTAAATTATTTAATTATTTAGAATCAATGGGAACTAAGATGCTATAACAAAGTATAAATACAGGCTATGAGGTGTTCTATCTTCGTCCTCAATGGCAAGAACACGGTATGCTGCTGTGATCTTGTTTCTTACTCTATTCTATACATAATGTTTAGACTTTACTTCACCATATATTACTAGTAGATATCTTTAGTTTCCCATTGGTTTGTTCATGTGATTTTTCTGTACAATGAATTTGCTAAGCTTTTGTAAATATATAATAAACTATACATTTTAAATTGTGGTATAATTTCTCTTGAATCCCTTAGAATTACTAATAACGATTGGCGCGTGATTTTAATGCAACTTGTAGTGCAGTTATAGGAATGTCTGCAAATTAAATAACCAATATCACGGAGATAAAGAAAATGCTATTTTGTAATTAGGTATGTAAGGAAAATTTTAAGCCATGTTAATTTTGAATCCGTTTCAAAATTGCTCATTTAAAAACCCTTTTTTTGCTATTTAGAGGTCTCAAATGGAAAGGATTGCATTTATTTTATCAAAAATACAGGATATTAATTGACTTTCATTTCACTTCAAACTGACGTTATAAATTAGGTTGAATGAATTGCGGCCAATACCTAACGTCTAGAAATTTAAAACGATATTGTTTTTCTTGTCAATTACAACCTGTTCTAAGTTGTAATTGACAAGGAAGACAATATCATAGAACTACAGAACACAATTACTCTCTACCGAGACACAGAACCTTAGAACCTCAGTAGAGAGCTCTCGGTAGAAAGTAATTGCGTTCTGTGCCTGGAACGATGTGTCAAGTCAAAAATCAACGTCTAGGTTTTGTTCGTAAAGAAGGATTATATTTCTTTTATTTTTACTTTGCTTGATTTATAATTGGGTTGATTTACAATAGTAACTCTTGCGTTTAATTTTGATGAGCTACAAACAACGGCTCTCTTCAAGTTTGGATTTGTCTTATTTATCAAACCGTTTGTACGAGGTTAGTGTTATGGTACAGACTGTTTTACAACTTCTTTTAAATCAATGGTTTTTGTCTTACTCGTAGGCTTCTTGATAGAATACATCATCAAATTATAATAAAATTGGCAAAAAACTTTTAAAAAAATGTTTGTATTTGGTTAAAGTAAACAATGACATATTTATTATAAACTCGTAAATGACTTAAAAAACTCAACTACTGCTTGGAAAACAATCATAATTAAAATTGGTATTTATAAAAACATCAAGTATAAGCAAAAATATAAAATTTAATAATCTTATTAAAATATTGTAATATTATTTAATCAGCAATTAGAAAAGATGTTACTTATTTAATTGTTTACTATTTTTCTAATTTTAAAACAACCTCTACCTACCTATGTAACTCTACGATACATCTATCGAATACAATTGGATCAAATTTTCATGCAAGTACCTACTTATTCTATTATTCGTAATCGAATAAGTAGGTACATGAAACTTTAATTTAAATAAAAAAAATCCTTAAATATTATTGTAGGCATCATCATCATCTCTTTATATCAGTTCTGGTGTACAATAATTTATTATTTCAATCATTAAAATTTAGTTATTTTAATGATTAAGTTTTATTTAGTTATTTAATTTTATATTTAATCAAATGTTTATTTAATTTTATCTGTTTTATAGTTATTGAATATAGATATTATATACGTTTATATATAGAGAGAGATAATTCTAAAAGACAAATATACAAAAGAGAACAGAACCAACAAAAACCTAAACAATTATGCGTTTTGGGATTCGGAACATAGGTGTAGGTACTGAGAACCGCTGTGCTAAAATAACTCTACTTCATAAATACGAGTATGTAAAATTTTCTTTTTTAAATAATTTACTTAAACGTTTCTAAATGTAAAGTAAAATATGCGTAAGCTCTAAGCATGTTGGGTGCTTCGGAATGAGACATTAAGTGACAGCTGTTGAATATTATTTGTATAAATTTACAAAGACTTTTTTAGAAATTGGGATATCATAAAGAATGATTATGTTTAACAATGTGCCTCTGTTTTCTTCTTAATCCAATAAGAGATGCTGATGATACTCTATAATAATTTTAATGTAATAAAATATCGGTAAAGTGTAAGTAAGCTCTTGCACAAGACTTCGAAATTATCATTTTGGTCAAAGTTTTTTCATCGAAGCAATTTTTACTCATTCTACACCTATGAATAAGTGTTTTATCAGGTTTCGAATCGCCTCTAGTCGAACTTCGTTAATTTTTTTTAAGATGTAACGTTAAGTGTTTTTGATTATTAATCGAGGATAGAAGTTGTCTATGGGCCATAGCATCCACTTATCAGGTGGACTGTGTGCTCGTTTGTCACCATTATTATCTATTAATAAAAATGTAGATGTCTATGGGCCACAGTATTCCCTTACCATCAGGTAGACTGCCAAGGCTGTCCAAGGGAACTGCTGTCAGCCATCTCTTCCATCTCTGCACAGAGAGAACGACTCACTGGCCCATGCCGCAAAGGAGAAAACCGATCTTTTAAGCTCTCTCTTTGCGTCCAACTCGAATCTAGATGACGGGGGAATACACCGCCGACCATCCCGCGGTGTGAGTGCTCCATGCCGGATGTGTGATTAACACAGCGCACGGTTCGTAAAGCACTCTTCTCCCTCGACGTCAGCAAGTCGAGTGAGCCTAGTGGAGTCCCTCCCATTGTGCTGTAGACGTGTGCTCCGGAGTTGGCACCGGTTTTAACACATCTTTTCCGGTACTCCTACTCCCAAGGCGTAGTTCCGAAATCATGGAAGACAGCTTTGTTCCACCCGATCCCTAAATAGGCGACCGCTCAGACCCGTCCAACTACAGGCCTATCGCCATAACCTCCTTGTTCTCCAAAATAATGGAATCCATTATAAACTGCCAGCTCATGAGGTACCTTGAGGAACACCGGCTGATTAATGACCGCCAGTACGGTTTTCGTCGGGGCTGATTAGCTGGTGATCTTCTGGTCTACCTGACTCATAGATGGGTGAAGGCAGTAGAATCCAAGTAGGAGGCATTGGCCGTTAGTTTGGTCATGGCGAAGGCTTTCGTTCGGGTCTGGCACAAAGCGCTTCTTTCGATGCTTCCTTCCTATGGGCTTTCCGAGAAATTGTGAAAATGGATATGTTATATATTATGCAGTTTCCTTGCTGATCAAAGCATCAAGGTCGTAGTAGACGGTGCATGCTCTGATTTCAAGCCTATCAACGCTGGTGTTCCACAAGGCTGCGTGCTATCACCAACGCTGTTTCTCCTGCATATCAATGATATGTTGCAAACTAGTAAGTAACATTAATTGCTATGTAGACGACAGCACTGGTGATGCCTTATATACCCGCCGTGACAATATTTTCTCGGGAAAACGTCGCCGAGTACCAGGACAGACTTGTGTCTGATGTCGAGTCTTTGTTGAACAAAGTCTCGGATTGGGGGTGACTAAATCTAGTCCAGTTCAATCCCCAGAAGATACAAGTTTGCGCGTTTACCGCTAAAAAGAACCCCTTTGTCGTATCTCCACTTTCAAGGCACTCCCATTGCTGCCTCAGCTAGCATCGGAATCCTCGGCGTCGACATATCGAATAGTGTGCAGTTTCGTAGTCACTTGGAAGAGAAAGCCAAACTGGCCTCTAAAAAGCCTGGCGTGCTCAGCAGAGCGGGACAGTATTTCACGTCGGCGCATCGCTTGCAACTTTACAAAGAGCAAATCCGGCCTCACATGGACTACTGTAATCATCTCTGGGCCGGGGCACCCCAGTGTCAGCTCCTTCCACTTGACCGCATCCAGCGCAGAACGGTTCGAATCGTCGACGACCGAGTTCTTTCTTATCGGCTCAATACACTAGCATTGCGTAGAAATGTTGCATCTCTTTGCGTATTTTATCGCATTTACCACGGGAAGTGCTCTGAGGAATTGTTCGGACTAATTCCAGCCGCTCAATTTCACCATCGCACATCGCGACAAAACTTGCGATACCATCCATACTACCTGGATGATTGGCGGTCCACCATTGTGCGATTTAGAAGATGTTTTCTTCCTCGCACAACTTCCTTGTAGAATCGATTACCACCATCGATTTTTCCGGACCGATACGACTTAGGGACTTTCAAGAAAAGAGCCTACTCCTTTTTATAAGGCCGGCAACGCATCTGCAATTCCCCTGGTGTTGCGGTTGTTCATGGGCGGCGGTAGTCACTTACCATCAGGTGAGCCGCATGCTCGTTTATAAAAAAATGACTGTGTGCACGTTTGTAACACTTATTTAGAAGTAGACTGTCACATTGTTCTAGTGGTAGTGTCCTGGGTTCGAGTCTCGCGTCGCGCCAAAACCAGTTATTGAGTTTTTCTCTTAAGAAATTCTCAGTATTAGCCCGGAGTTAGTTACTTGGCGGTGTTTTCACCCCCGCGTCTGAAAAAGCACGTAATGCCGTAGGTCCTGCGCTGCTCTCTCCGGTCTTGTCGGATTACCATCCCATCGGACTATGAGAATGAGGGAATAGAGAGTGCACCTGTGCTTGCACATACGCTCGTGTAATATAATCCTGTCCTGTGCAAGATGGCTAGTCTCCGTTGAGACTTGCCATCTGCGCAGAACTAGCTACTCTAAAGGACATCGTTATTGATATTATAGAAGTGTTTTAGGCCTGAGTGGCCAGGCATCCTAGCTATGTGAGAACTCGCAACGCGCAACTCAAAATCCTAACATGCCACGCATTACTAATTTAATATTTTCAATTGGATAGAATAAAGTGAGTTGGAAATAGCCGAGATTCGTGTATATATACAAACAACAGATGGTTTAATTTGTTAGAGCCATGCATCTACTATATAATAGTCAAAGCACGAATGGGTTGGCTCGGCCGGGGAAAGACAC